ACAACTTTTTCGCACAAACTTCAATTTAATCAAAAGGAAATCACAAGGAACAATTTCCCCCTCACACGTTACTGACCACAGACTTTGGTATTTAAATGTTTAATGGTCATGTTTTATGATGCAATACATATTTAATATATATTTATTTTCCCTATTTTTTCATTGCAGGTAAGCGTTCGATGGCAAAATCAAAGAAAATGTGGGTATTGCTGTAAGTAAAAGGAGTCTAAAGGTCAGTGAACTACTTCTTGTGGCCAAAAGATTTTGTAGGAAATTGTGATGGATTTAAAGGGTGGTAATATTGTTTGGGATACGATAAATGTGGGAAAAAGAGAAAGAAATCATAAAATATATTATGATTATTATAATTAAATACCTAAAGATACTTCCAAGTCAGTCTTGAGACCTCCTTAGCTATAACCTTTAATATAAGCACTTCCCTGAATATTTTCCACATAGATTTCTACTTTAAAATCCTATCCAACGCTTGGCATATTTCTCTTTTGATAACTACCATTTTTCTTTATTTTCTACAAGCTTAAAAAAAAATGGTATTTTCAATCCCACTGCTGAGACTGCCACGAATTGTCATTCACTAATTGAATTCAAATCGGATTTAATGTCATTCTGTGAAGAACAAAAATAAAATGGCACAGATTTCATACAACATCAGGTCGCTACGGTCTTTCTTTTGTCTCTAATTCTCGCTGTCTCTGTGGAGATGTCAATCTAATAAAGTGCAAGTGAAAACCCACAGCCGTGGGACAGCGGAGAGAGGCGGGGGGCATTTCTCCATGGTTCTCTCAGTTTCGCTTAATAATTCAATGTTGCCCCAAAAAGACATTTTGGTATCCCTCAATTTTATTCTTCTTGCCTAATTTTTGTTGCTGCAAAAATGTGTCAGTCACATGGAAATCTAAATAAGCGAAACACTGCAAAAGAAAGAAAAAAAAAAAATACGAGAAAAATTGTGTTAGAGCCCGCGACAAAATGATAGATGGGCTGAGGGGACAAAGACAGAAATTAGCGTGGGCCTTAAAAAAGCTTCAAAAGCAATCAAAGTGACAACTTAAGTAGGCTTCCCAGCAGCCAGCGAGCCCAGCGAGTGAAAAAAAGGAGAACCAAAAAAGAAAACGTAAAATTGAAAATGAAAATAAAATGATTGTAGAATTGGGGGAGGATGAAGGAAAAAGACTTTTCCCTTGGTTAGACTTTACATTGGTTGGACGTTTCACGTAGAGTTTCCTTCTTGGGTCCTTGGGGTTACCAGACCCAGACACATTTTCCTTTGGCAGAATGTGGGCTCAATTAGGGCTTAATTGTTTGTTTTCTCACTTGGCTGACTGACTGACTGGCGTCTGACTTGCGAACGGCGAATGGCTAGCGAAAGATCTGCTAATTGAACCATCAAAAGTTTCCTGCTGTGAAGTGTGAAAGGGCAAAAGATGTAATTCAATTTAGTTTTACTTTTTGTTTTGTTTTCAAAGCAGTTCGAGGTCAAATGATTATGAGGCAGCAGCGGCAGGGGTTTCGCTCTCCCAAAATGGTGCATAAAATGTGTAAAATTTACAGCAGCAAAGGGGGCAGGGGCAGGGCAGGGCACAAAACAGATTTTGTTGTGGATTTTATTTGAGGGTCTCGTCTGGTGTTGCCTTTGCCCATTTAACTTAATCAAGATTTTAATATTTAAAGAATTTCCCAAGCCAAGAACCCACAGGCCACAAATTTGTACCATTCGTATCTTTTCTTGGTATGTGGCCTTCAGTTTGGAAATTTTCTTATTCGCAGATCTCTCACTCCGAATCTTTCCCTACACGCTTACGCCTTTCCTCACTCTCACTCCTTTGCTTTCACTCCTTATCATGTTGTTAGCCCCTTTCTCTACACTCTATATCGTATATTTTCTTAGTGCCCCTCCTCCCTGCTGATGCCACCCGCATATGTATTGTTTGCTGTCAGCCAAAAGGGTTTTGCTCTTCCTTCCTTGCTTGCCCAAACTATTCCTTAAAGGACAAGCAACATTATCTCTCTTACATGAGATGCTTGCCACACTTCAATTGCTTGTAAATGCCACACAATAGATACTATCCCCCCGCTGCTGCCGCTTCTGTTGGAGCAAAAGTTTTCCTTGTACTTTTCCCCTCTTTTTGTTGCGGCTTCTGGGGCTGTCGACTTGATTTTAGTTTTATGTGTTGCACATTTATTCATTTCGACAGGTTTTTTGGGCGAAAATATTCCTTCGATTTTTCCATCCTTTCTGTGGCATTTTCTGTCTGTGTGAAAATCAATAAACAAAATGACAGCCAAATCCCCTAAAAGGTTGTACAACACAAAAATCCTCTAAATATTTAAATAAAGGTCAGTGGAAGTTCTCCAACTATCCAAATGGGGTCAAAGATTATAGATTAAAGGTGGTAGATGATGGATACCAAAGAGCATTCAAAGTATTTATTTGTGGAAATTAGTTGCAAGGGATTTTTGGGTTTTATATTTCATAAAAAATATATATATGTTAAGTGGGTTTACCATACAGCTGCGAAAGCTAAGAAAGTGTAGGTTATAGATGGGCATTTGTTAAGGATTAAGAACTCTAGAAATGTGATTTATTTATTTTTTAGTGCCTTAAATTTCTTTAGCTCCATGGAGTACAGATAACATAGGAAAACTCCAGTCTGAAATGATTTCCATACAGTTAAATCCTTTTTTCCATGCTTAAGGATAGAAAACTTTATCTATCAACCAGAAGAATTTTCAGTCTCCTTTTATAACCGCTCCAAATGCCTGGGCACATAATTCAGTGCCATGCAAGTGCTACTAAATCATATTTAAAACAGATGAAATAGAGCAAAGAAGCGCACAGAACATATACTCGTAAATTATATGGCAAAGGGATGGAGAAAAGGAGCAGCCCAGACAAGAGACAATTGAGTTTCCATCTCTGGAGGAGCCCAAAAGGAACAGTCGGAATCCTGAATCCTGGATTCCTGTCTGCTGCCAACAAATGACAAATTACCCAAAGCACAAAAATAAAGGCAGTGGAGACAATGCCACACGCAAGACGACAGACAGACAGACAGACACGAAAGACAGAAAGTATCTACCAGATACAAACATGTGTTAACAGGGACAATAACAAGTTATGAGGGAGTAGCTTTTGCACACCCTCCCCTTTTTCTGGGGTGGTGGTGTGGTGTGGCGTGGTGGAAATTTATTTCCACAAAACTATTGTGCAAATAATGAAGCGCCCAAAGCGCTTGAATCTCAAGTGGAAGCAAGTAAAACTTATAAGCATAATTCTCTAGCGAGAGAGGGAGAGAAAAGAAAGTGGTGGAGTGGGCGGAGCACACACACACACACATTGAGTGCCAAAAGTATTTGCCAACTAGATTTTTGACTTAACATTTACGATGCGTTGCGCACGCTACACACTACTGCTGGCTAGAGTGTCCCGTGTCCCGTGCCCCGTGCCCCATGCCTCCTGCTTCTGAGGCATGCCTCATTCTGATCCTCTTTGCGTGGCACACAGCAAACTTTTTTTTGTGCCAGAGACAGGATTTAGCTCTGTGGCAAATCCCCGCGACCTTTTTGCTCGTCCTTTCCATCTCTCTCTCCCTTTTCTAACCGCATCCCATTAAGCGTTTGAGCAGCTTCTTGGCGGGCGACTTCATATGGCAGCAGCAGAAGCAGCAGCAGCAGAAGAGCTTAACTTTGATTTCAGTGCTGCCTCGCCTTCTGCCTACTCTTTTGCCTCGTCTTTTGCCTCGTCTTTTTCTGTTTGAGTGAGTAGGCCACTTAAATACGCGTTAGAGCGGTGACACGATGCGATGCTAGAGGCTAGAAGCTGTCAGGCCTTGGCCTTTAGAGGAAGGCATGGGGTGGTCCCTAAGGACCTACTACCTCTAAGTTGGCTAAGTTATGGACACCTTCGGGGTAAAGTTTTTGCATAAGTACATTGGCAATGAAAGAGAGTTCTGGACAAGGGGATTAATCGTGTGAATTCTTCTTTGAAGGAGTTTCTGTTCATCCTTCAAAAACTTCTCCAGAAAGTTCTCTGTAGCACAGAATAATTCCCAGAAAATCCTACAGTCAGCGCTCCAGGATTGTATCTTTTCTTAGTCTTTGCTGTCACCTTAAATGATTCCCAGGCTGTAGATCTTCATCTTCCTCGGGGGAGGAGACCAATGACAAACCTTCCTTCCGTTTGCAACAAATCAAAGTTTCAATTCTCCTGTTAAATCATTAACAAACTTTAAACTTAGAGTTTAAACTTTGTGCTACAGCAAAATCCAAGCAGCAAATGAGCAAAGTTTCCAACCACAAAGCTGAGGATAGTTTCTGTTGACTCCAAATGGTAATTGTCCTGTCTCTGGATGGTAATTATGATGATGAGAAATGAGGATGGCAGACAGCGGCAAGGGCTGTGGCAATGTAAATGATTAGACTTCAAATACGAGTACTACCTGCGGTTCGCCTTATTCTCAAATAAGCAACAAAGTTTTGCGCCTCAGAGTAGGGGGAACAACTTATCAGCCAAGAAGAGCAACAGAAAGTCTTATTAGCCAAGAGAGAGAACCCAAAAAAAGAGGCGCAGAGGGAGCACTTGTCCGATGGAGAGTGAAAGATAGAGTGGAAGCAAAAAGAAGCCTTCCTCCCTAGATAGAGTGAGAGAGGGGGTTTGTCCCCCCTGCTCTGCTGTTGACAAACTGCGCCTCTCGCTCCCTGGAGCGCGAAAAAACCAACTGAAAGTTTTACTCTTCGAATTTGTGTGTGTTCTTGCCGCAGAAAAAGACTTGAAGCGGCACCACTTAGGCCCACGCCGCCGAAACAACTTTATCGCTTAGGAAAGTAGGGCCACCCCGGACCCGGGCACCCCTTCCACAAAATTTAGACAGCCCCACCCCTCACGAAGAAAAGTAGGTTCCCCCATTAAATCAAAGGGAGAAAAGCAGCAGCACTTGCTGTAATTTGTTTATTGTTTTTTTTATTAACATAATTGATTGCCAGATTTGTTTGGTAGAAAGAGAGAGAGGTGGAGAGGTAGAGAGCGCGGAAAAGTTCTTATTAAAGAAAGTTGTGCAGCAGCGGCAGCTGTGCCTTTTTTTGCTGTTGCGAATATCAGTGGGGAAAAATCAGCAGCACGCCACTTACACTTCCTGGATGCCGGAATTAAGTTAGCTCTGTGTTTATCCTTTATCCTTGAGTGAGTTTTTGCCTTGCCACTTGCTCACGCCCTTTTCTCCCTTTTTCACTTGATTGATGACGCTCATTTGTGTTACGTGTGTTTTTCCCTGCTCTTCCTCCGCCAGGTGCTGGAAAATATATCTCGTATATATATATATATTTTTGCTTAATTTTAAATCAGTTTGCAATTTGCTGGGTGGAAAGTTCCCCCCGAGCAGGATACGGATATGGCTGCGGGTCCTGCGGTTGTATATGGTTTATTGCTGTTGTGCGTGTTGCATACTTTTTGGCGCCTGTCCCCTCGGCAAGAAGACTTTTCGTTATTTAGTCGTTAGTCCTCACTCCCTCCCTTCTGTTTGTTGTTCTTTATAATGTTTAAGCACACTCACGGGTAAAGTTAACTGCAAGTTAACCAACTTTATTAATGTTTGTGTGTGGCCCTGTTTTTTATGGACTTCTGTCGGCTGGAAGGCGGAGCCTGGCTTTGTCCTCGTTATTGTGGTTCCTGTTTATTGTTAACTTTTCCACCAGGAGACCAGGGAGACTTTGTGTGTGTGTGTGTGGTGGAAAAACTTTTCTGTGGCTGAGCCTCGGATTTTGTCATTGATTTATTTTTATTATTATATTTTCGAAGATTGTTTAAGGTCTCTCTGATGATATATTTGAGATTGTTTTTCTGTCATTCTTTACTCATTTACTCATTTAAATTTCTACGAGTTTTCTTAGTTTTTCTATTTTCTAATTCCTAGAGTGCAACAAATGGTGGCATGCTTGGGTAAATATTTTCCAAGCCATTTCCCTGGCACTCAACCAGTCTCACGCACACACTTCACATACTACACACACACACACACACACACATACACTCTCTGTCTCTAGGGGCACTCTTGTGTGGCACTCTCTTGACACCAAATGCCTTCTTGCCACAATAACATATATTTTCAATTTTTTGCCCCACCCCCCTCACTTTTTACTCTTTATTTCATTTGCCATTTGTTATACCCTGGAAAGGGGTATTCAGGTTTCATCTAGACTTTTGCTGCACAGAGCGGGGAAGAATGATAATTTTTATAAGAATACCAAAGAAATTTCATAAGCAGAGATATCTTCCAAGTTTCAACCACATCGGATAATGTTTTAATCTAAAAGCTACGATTTTTAAATTTATTATATATTTTTTGTTACCAAAGATACTCCTCTCTTCCTACCAAATATTCAACCAAATCCTATCACTATATCCCTGAGAATCTATAGATCTTTAAGTGCATTTCTTTCTTCCATCGCAGCCAGTCTTTTTCCTTCCTTGTTTTCCCATAAAGTTGACGCTTTCTGCATCCTGTTTTTTTTTTTTTTGCTTCAACGCCATTAAGTATAGCAACAAATGCAATGCCAGCGAGTGCTGTGGAAATTGCTGGGTGGGTTGGAAAAGCATGGAAAACTGTGGCTGGGAGCAGCACAACTCTGTTGTTCTAGACCCAGACCCCATCTCGTACATTAGAAGTGTTTGCCCGCCATCATAACGCATTAAAAATTTCGCATCTTTTTTTTGTATTTTTACCAGCTCATTTTTTCCTGCATTTTCTTTTAGCCTGAGAGTTTTTCACGCAGACTTTCTCTCTCTCTCTCTCTTTCGCTCTGTCTCTGTGTGGCCCGTCTCCCATTATTTACTCGGTTTCATTATGCACTCATTTCATTAAAAGTTAAGTCGCTCTTCGGGGCCCCAGCAGCACTAGCACCAGCTAGCACCAGCCCCAGCAGCAGCAGCAACAACGACAATTTATTTCAATAAATTTAATTACCTCTCAGCGGAAGAGCCCGGAAAACAGGGACTATTTTTTTGTGGGGAAACTTAATTTTATTTCTATTTTTTGGGGTAGCAGAAAAGTAGGGACTGAAGGACTTCCTGAAGCAAAATGAAGCCCTTTCCCTGTAGCAAAATTGTTGAAAATATTTTTTTTTTGGTTTGCACACACACACACACACACATTTGTATGCCAGGGAGCCACAGACAGGGTTGGGGAATTGGGGATTGGTCAAGTGTTGTAAAACTTTCATTACCTATTTGTATTACATAATTGCACTCACGTGTGTTTGGCACATTCCCCGCTCCCCTGCTCCCCCTGCGCATGCTGCTGCGTTGTGGCATGCCCCACGAATTTATACAGAATTTTGTTGGCACGAACAAGTTTTCACCTGGATGGAAAAAAGTTTCATCTACTGTGCGTTGATAATTTGTTAAAAGTTTTTCCCCACTCTCTTTTTCCTGCACGTATTCGTATTCGTATTCGTGTGTGTGTTTCCTCTCATTCTGTGGGGTTCATTGAGGTCGTTTGTGCGGATATTCAGGATGGAGTTTTCCTTCCATAATTGGTCGCAAAATGTAGCTTAAAATTTAAATTGGATAACTGTGTGATTGAATTAGTTGCAAGGTGAATTCGCATGAATTGTGATACAACAGAAATTAAGCAAACGATAGTTAAAATGTCATTTCTGACCCCATCTCTAAACGTCAAATAAAAAGTCAATTGTCTTTTTTTCTGATTTTAGTTAAGTGTATTTATAATATGTGTAGATTGTCGCGCAAACAAGGAAAGTGTGGCATAAAATTGAATTGATTTTTAGTTCGTGTAGTTTTAAAAATTAGATTTAACAGCTGCTGCTGGTCTCAGCTGAGTACAAAATTACGTTAATGTTTGTGTTCAGACTCAGAAATGTGTGGAAAGAATAGGAATAGGAATCCCCTACCTACTGACAGCCTAAATTTCCAGCTTTCGGTGCAGCAGGCTTCCATGTTGCGGCTCCACCAACACTCTTTGGCGGTGCCTTTGTAGCCAGGGGACGTTGCACGACCTTGTAGTTGCTGGGATTGCCGACGAAGGTTGCTTTGGGGGAGCAGCACCACGCTTCGGTGGTGCCTGCGCGATCCGCGAACGCGACTTCTCCTTCAGGACGGCCGTTGGACCCAGCTTGCAGTGACGCCATGGGGGCAGCATCAACCGGGAGCAGGGTCCGGTGTTGGTGGCCATGGGCATGTCGGGCTTCTGGCTCGCAATGATATCGTACTTTTCTTCGATGCTCAGTAGTTCCCTTTTATTCGCCTGCATCTGTTGCACCTTTTTCCAGTCCGCGAGTGTAATGTCGTTGCGCTGCTCATCGTTGGCGTATTTCAGAGCTTGCATCATCTTGCGCTTGGCTGCGCCTGTATGTCCATTATGGGATGTAGCACTTGGTGGGACTTCTTTGGCAGATTCACTTACCGTAGATGGAGTTCAGGAGCTTTTCTCGTGCTTGCGGCTCCACAGTGAGACCCGAAACTACTGACTGAACAATTGCATCGTCCAGAAAGTCCGCATCATTTTCCCAGTCAACTTTTAGAATATTTTCTGGATTTTTTTTTGCGGAGGAATTCATTTTTTCGACTAGTCTCTGTATGCCTTGTAATTTTGTACTGATTTCTGATGACCGATTTCAGCTGCCAAGCTGCAAGTGACTTGCACGAAAATCTAGAGCTGGGACCAGCAGTTATCGGGGTTGCCCAGCATTTCGATCTATGGTTTGTCAGGGCAACCCTATTCAGGCCTGGTCATCGTTCATTTCTTACACTTTTATTCCTGCATTGATGATGCACTAAAAAACTCGTTTCGTATATTTAAATTAAAAATTCAATCATGCTCTGGAAATTACCTTTCAAATGCAGGGCCACGCCCTCTGGCCACTGCATTTTGTTTTTGTCATTTAAATGTGTCATAATAATATTTCCATGCCCCCTGTTGGTTTTCAGTGGGCAATACCATATTCATGGCACATTAAATTCGCGTTAATTTGTTTTCGCGTATTATTGGAAACACAAACACACACACACATGTGCAGTTTATATCCTGTGGAGCATTGGGATTTGCATATGCTGGATATAATTTATTAATTCCCCGCATGAAATTACAATTTTGCGCACAATTAATTTGAAATTCGTTTTGCATCCCACTTTTTTTCCTCTCTTTTTTGCAATGCTTTTTTTTGCCGCTTTTTACCCTTAAATGTGGGAGTTTTCTACTCTCTTTTTTTTGCGACTCAAATGTGTTAGTCCTTTCTCTCTTTTTTTCGCCTCCAACATTTCCTGCAAATGAAAGTTCGGAGCGGAGAGCAGAGTGGAACATGTGTATAATTCGCTTTTACAAATTCTATTTTCATGTGTGTTTTTCCTGTTTTTTTTTTGGTTTGTTTGTCTGGTTTTGTTTTTAGTTTCCGTTCTAAAATTTCCGCATATTTTTTTCGCATTCTTTTCTTTGTTTTAATCCGAAAGCTGCTGCTGCTGGGCTGCTGCGCTTTTGCATAACTAATTAAAGTTTTTGTTGTTGGCGCCATTGCTCAGAAAGAAAGAAAAAAGACAAAGAGCCAGAAATTATTATGACATGGAAAAGGCGTTAGAGAACCCTTCTCCCACTGCCACGCCGCTACCACTGTCAGAGAGAGAGTGAGAGAAAGGAGGCAGAAAGATGGACAGGACTGACATTAATTAGAAGCGAAGCTACAGCTGTCGGGGTTTATATATATACATATATATATCTGTCGGGTAGAGCTGCAGAGAGTTGCAGAAACATGGAACATCTGTGGAAATTAATGGGATCTTTGTATATATTTGGGAAAGTACTTTAACGCAAGGGATCTCTCCAGAAGCTAGAACCAACAAATGGAAATTCTTTTATTGTGCTTGACTCTGATTTTGTATCAGCTGCGCTTTTAGCCAGCTCTTGGCTCTTGGCTCTTGGCCTCTGGCCAATAAAATGCTCCTTCTGCTGTTGCTATTTTCTTTACTTTCTCATCCTTCAATTCGTTGTGCAACCAAATCACATCTCAATAAACCAACTTCCGTTTAGAGACTGCCCCTTTTCCCTTTGCCGAGCTGCATTGTTATTGGTTCTGCATCGAGTGGCTCTCTCCCTCTACTCTTCCTTTCCTTTTCCACTCATGCACTTTGGTTCATTACATCGTTTTCATTTAGCCAATTTGCTCACTTGACCAAAAGTTGATTTTTTATTACGAGTATTTGCTGGAAAGGCAGAGGAAGCGGGAGGATGGAATGGAATTGGAATGGCATGTCATGGCAGCAGCTCGTCACGAAAATTGAAATGTTTTCGGATTTTGCTTTGTTTTGTTGTAGTTGTTTTTTCGTTTCCATTTTTTTTTTGGCTCAATGCCCAGGGTACTCGAGAGAGTGTCCCTAAATGACTCAATGACCGAATGACTGACTGAATGGACTGCTGCGTCTCTATGACTAGTTGCATTTTGGTTCCTTGCTTCGCTCCCCGAGGGTAATGTGTCCAGCTATATTTCTGCTCCTTGTCTCCCAGATCCCTTTGGCTCCTCTGTGTCCCCTGTTGTTTCCCCTGTTACCCCTGTGTCTCTCGGGGGTCGTGTGTCCTGGCAGCAGCTTTCAATATCTGTTATTGTGCTGCCTTTGACTTGCTTTTGGGGGATCTTCGTCGCCATTTTCTAACTCCTGCCATCCGTTTGCATGCCACTTAATGTGGCATTTGATGTTGCCGCTACGTGACTCGACCATCGGAAATCTCTTCATCGGAGCATGCCACAGAAGGTGCTCCAGTAGCTGGTTTTACTCCTGATTTTTTGCTTTCTCCCCATTGTCTGTCTCCAAAGTCTGTAATTTTGAGGAAATGCAAGCATAAAGGAGCCTCAGGAGCTGTTTATTATCCTCGAATGACTTTCTTTGTAGATAGAACTTTGACTTAAAATCTATTGATATTCTTGATAGATGTGTATCAAAATCGTATCCAATATTTACCTAGTAAATAGAATCGCAAAAATATAATTTCATTAAATACAAAACCCCCCTTTGGTTTAAGATTTAAGTAGGGAACTTTTCACACCTTTTGAATTGCTTTTTTTGGTGCCTTTTGGCAGTTGCTTTCTGCCCCAAAATGTCCCCAAAAGTCAACTCGTGTTTTACGCACTGCATTCAGACACACCAAAAAAACAGCACAGACAGCACAAGTTTAATTTGTTTATTAAAACTTAAACGAGTTTTGTGTGCTCAGCGGCTTAAGGGGCTGAGGCTCCTGGAAAGGGACTACTCGTCGCCTGGCAAAGAGCTCATCATCACCCAGGCAACAGGCACCAGCCACCAGCAACCAGCCACCAGACGACGAGAACGATGACGACGACGACACTTTTTAAACTACTTAAACTTTGCCGTGTACTGGGGCCTGTGATTCCTCTCTACTACAGTCCTCTCCATAGACCTCCGTCTGTCTGTCTGTGTTTTGACCTATGTAAACGGAAACTCATATACGATGTCTACAGGGATGCCCATATGCAGTCCTTCTGCTGGGATGTGTATGTGTGTATTTCTGGCTCAGCATTTAAACAGTTTTGTGGGGTTGTCTTTTTTGTGTTGCACGTAAACATCAACTTCAAACTTTATACACGATGACGAGCGTTGAAAGCTGTCTCTCTCTTTCTCTCCGTCTACTTTTGGGGACTTTTCAAATTAGTCGTAATAAATAATTAAGGATATCGCATGCATATTTACAGAGTACCACCGCAAAAGCGGGGGGTAGTGGGATTGGGGGGATTGCAGTTGATATTTGTCTGGGGTTTCTTGAGCTCTGTTTTCTCTCTGGCAGAAAGTTTATGCGGTTGCATAAATGCTGTTGATGCTGTTGCAGTTGCTGCTGCTCTACGCTCAGGAAAAGTTTTCCTACGAGTACATAGATTATGAAAAGGCTGTAATTTGAGATAAATTGGAGTGTTCAGGAAAGTTATTTTTGAGGAAGAACCTAATTTTTGGAAGCAGAAAGTACCAATGAAATTATACCCCTAAATGGAGGGGCGAGGCAGTTTCCTAGAGCTTCCACTACCACTGTCATTATTTAACAGAACATCGTTCCATGATAGCTGAGATTTTTACTGTTATTGTTGCAGAGATTATCATGAAAATAATTATATTTATTTTACATTTTAACTCTACACAAACACAGAACAAATAGCCCATCATTTGGAGTACATTTATATTCCGCAAACATTTCTTTGTGCCCAATGAATTTCCCCCCTACAACCATTTTGCTGACACAATTTTTGCGTGCAAGTAATTTACATTTATTTGCATATATGCTCGGTTATCCTTGGCCAAATCACACTGCTCTGTGCCGAAAGATATTTCAATATTTGTTTGTCTTGCTGTGGGGTCACAATTGAATTTCACTTTATGCCCTGTGCACATTTTTAAGTGCCTTTTCTTGCTGAGACTTAAAGGCAAAAGTCGTCGTGGCAGGGATAACATTCATTAAATCCTAATTTGCAGAGGATTACGACTCGCTCGCATATGTGGAGAAAGAAGATGCCACACAAATGTATATGTTTGTATGTATGTATGTATGTATGCATGTATGTAGGTCCCTTTGCACTGAACGAAATGTTGCGCATTTTGCCATGGAATTTCTCAATTATTTTTGGCAAAAGTCTTTGCTTTCAAACGAATTTTATTATCCTCGAAAAGCAGGAATTATGTGAATGATGTTGCAATTATAACACGGCTGCCACAGAACATTTTATTTTCACGTACATTTTTCTGTATTTCAATTTGCATTCTTTTTTTTTTGTTGGTTTTTTTTGACTCGCGAAATTCCTTTGCATTTACTTGCTGAGTTTCCTGGGTTTTTCTTTTTCTTTATGAATTTTAATGAGCGTCCCTTTTGCTGGCTGCTGCTCGTTTGCTATGCAACAAAATCCACAAAAAGAATACAAGGAAAAACTGAAGGAAAAGCCAAACGACGGTGACAGGGAGAGACAGAGCGAGAGAGAGGGAGACATATTTTGTTGCAAACAAAATTTAGACATTTGAAATCCTCAATGCAAATGTCATTTCCAGTTCAGGATTCGTGTTGGCTCTCTTTTGTGTTGCAGTTTCTTGTTGGTTCACTGCATATTCAAGTTCTCCTTTTTGTTTTTGTTAACCCTTTTAAGGGGTGCCTAAGGAGATGTTCGGCAATATCTGGAAATAGTAATTTATACTCTGTTTCATTCTCTCTGAATCTGTGCCTAGCTCTACATTATCTTCTCTTGGGACTATAGATGCCCAAGAGTATCTATACACTCTGCCTGCGATGTCACCTTTTTCTTTAAACTCCTTTTCTTTTTTGGTATTGCGGCAAAATTTCATGTCTGCTGAACTCTGCCAACTGGGCCACTGCCACACCCCGCCTTGTTAGCCCTTCTGCTAAATATTCGTTAACGTGGCGAACAAATTTCGTTGGCAAACAGAACGTTGGAAGTCTGCAGAGCTACCCAGAACAGAGATCTCGTAGCGTGGCTTTCTCTTTATAAAATTTACATATTTGCACATCTAAATCGCTGGGAATTTGCATTGTTTGCCAAGGCTGAAGACTCGAACGAGGGGACGGGGGGGCATGGGTGGCAGTGGCATGTGGCAGGA